CCAGGGCTACGATATACCAGGAAGTCCCCTGACTTCTGAGTCAAAGGCAATGGAAGAACACAGAATACGTATTTTTACAAGCCAGAATACAAAAATTCAGTGAAAATAAATTGTTAAAAATTTGTAGAGAGGTTTTATAAATGGAATCCCTCATTTAAGTTACCTAAGGGATCCACTTAAATTGTAATGTAAACCTTTTTAAATGTCAACCATTCTTCTATTTTTGTGAAAATTCAAATTTTCTTTTTAACTAAATGAGATAAAGTTTATTTCTTAAAAACAGTACTAGAAAGGGTCTTTGTTGCATGTTCACACATTTGATTAAAATAACTGTGGTACCAAAATCACTGGAATGGTGTTTCAGTGCATGAAATACTATTTTCTCTCTGCTATATAAGAAAAGTGTTAATAAGACCCAACATTGTGTCTTAAAATGTTACTGACTTTTATACTGTTTAACATGTTACCTTTGGAAGCATGCAGAACACAGCAGGCTCTGCAAAGTCAGTTAACGAATGAATGAAACACATAAAACCGTAAGACATACAGAGTAAAAGAATTTCCTGAGCCCACAAGTCAGGGGCCTAGTAAGAATGAAATCCAATCCTCAGGAACTCATCCCAGTGCTCCGAGGAAACCCGACGCCAAGGCGCACACTAAGGAACACTTGAATATATTTGAAAACAACATTGAAAAACTGTCAGAGTCTCCATATATATTGGGTTAGCATAACCTCAGGACACACTTCCTCAAGTGTTTGACTGTAAGTACTTACCCCAACAGCTGGGACTTCTTCGCTCTTGACTTCATTTATTCGAACCAAGTAGTTAACGAAGTCTCTGGCAGCATTGCTCTGCGCATCTTTTTTATTGGTGGAATTGCCCATGCCAATGTAATTGTATCCTTCCACTCGAACCTTTAACCGTCAAGAAAACAATTTAAGAGACTGGCCTGGGTAATTCTTGGACTTAAAAAAAAATCCTAACTCAACAATGCATTACTCCGTAAATGCAGTGAAAATAACACACCTACAAGAATTCAAGGACTGTCTGCCCTATGAAAAAGCTTGAATCATTCTGTCTAGTAATAAGCTAATCCAAAACAAGAATATTAACTTATGTGGCTCAGAAATCCTCTACTCATATAACACAATGGTCCATTAATAAATGATAACATTATTTTATAAGACCCAAGAACAAGCTCCCTATTTGTATTTAAACACTTAGACCTACAGCAATCGAGAATTACTATACTTTCTACAGGAGTTAGCGAAACTGCAAACAGTGATCTAACTTTTTTTTTCTATTCTGTATTGCTAGTCCGTGAAAGCTGAAGATACATGTTCTAAGTAGAAGAATTTACCTATCAGATTATTTTCAAAGTAGTGCTTACTTGAAAACAATTTATAAAGCTATAAAATAGCAAGTCATAATAAAGAACATTATCTAACATGCAACACATAAACATTTCCAAATAGCAAACAATGTTCTTTTAACACCAAAATAAGCCTCAAAGATCGTATCATGTAAACTGTGTTCTTTAGTACCTCGCACATGAACTTCTGCCTGTTTTTGTTTCCCACTGCTCTAATTTCGTAGGTTGGGGTCATCTTCCTTTTGCCACACCAGGCATACAGAAAATTTTTAACATCACCCATGATTCGGGCGTCTTCTTCAGACCTAAAAAATAAAAATAAAAAAGAAAAGAAAAGGTTGAAAACTTCATTATTTATAAGAGCAAACAATGGAAATTACCAAGCAAACACTGGAAATATCAAAACTGGAATCCAGGTTAAATACAGGATATTTTATCACATTGCAATTAAAATTGCCCATGAAGAAATTTTAGTGACTTAATCAGAGAGTCTATGACATGTTATAAATAAAAGAGGGATACAGAAATGTATAATTTGGCCTATATAATATAAAAAAGACTATATGCATAAATGAAGACTGGAAAAGAAATATCCCCCAGAATGGTTATCTTTGGGTGACAAGGGACTTTTATTGTTTCTTTAAAAGAGGTTGGTTATACAATGCCCTACTTTTTTACAATGGGCACCTCATGTGTTCTAACTCATTCAATCCTCACGACAATGGTAGATAACATTACATGGTAGGTAGGCATTATCATCATCTTTTTACAGAGGAAGGAACTAGGACATACAAAGTTTAAGTTACTTTTCCCAGTCACCTGCTGTGGGGCTTACATTCAAACTCAAACTACTCACTATACTAAGAAGTGGTCATTCATCATTTTGTGTATGTTTCCAATAGTTTACTCTCATTCTGATGATATCTCCCAGTAGACCTCCTCAGAGTTGTGGGCTGTATACTGTAAGCCCAAATACATGAAATATTCAGCACCTGAGCTAAAAAGTTATCTGTTACCTGAGATCACTCCCCTAGACCTTGGTATTTATCAGTCTGAGGACATTACGTCTTCTCCAAGTGGAACATACACACACACTGCCACTCTCCCTCTACTCCCCGGTTCATAAGACACTCGGGAGCCTAAGATATGGGTCTGAATTATAAGCAAGATATCTGAGGCCAAATTAAAAAACCCCAAATGCTGTGAATTTAGTTTGCTGTGAGAAGAAACCCCATAACTAACATCAAACCTCTGTCTTCTGTTAATGTTTAGGTGCATTTTGTTAACACCTAAATCTAATGTCGTATATAAACCTGCTCATTCTGCGCCCACAGACTAATCCCAGGGAATCCTGTTAATGAAAAAGCTGTGGAAAACTGAAGATGTCTGTTTATTCCACCTTTGAATAATTAACTTAAAAACAAGCCTTCAGGGTGAATGAGTAACATAAAGTAGATAGAACTACCATCAATTTTCTTCCTCCCTACGTACGTAGTTTCATCTAACTCCATAATATTCAATACTAATGATGCCCCAAAAATATATTCAAAATTTAGTCCTTTCTAAACTATAAAATCTCTAAGCTACAAAACCAAAAAGTTCATCAAACTACAGCACTCAAGTACTCATCTGAATGCTAACACAACAGCTCTAATGGAATTTTAAATTTCCTTCCCAAATTTGTTCCTCCTCCCCACCCTTAATTCCAGGGTTCCCATTTCCCTACGAGGCACCATTATGCACCAAGTCACCCATACGGTGGACCAAGTGTGAGGCCCTGACTCCCTCCAGCTCCTCCACAGCTATCCTTGCAGAGCCTTTACTCCGGGCCAGACCGTATCCCTGGAAGATCACCTACATGAACTATTGTTCTTAACCCTTACGACTACTGTACAGAAGAAGCATTAACACCATCCCCTTTTCACCAGCCAATAACCTGAGACAGTAACTTGCCCTAGAAGACAGAGGCCCTAACTGGGGAAGGCAGACAGTCTGACTCCTAATCTACTCAACAATTCTGCCTCCAAAACGTTATCTGTTGGATGAAAATGTGGCCACACACTAAACCTGACAAGCTCAGGGGAGGCCAGCATGGCAGACCCCACAGCCTCAGAGAGGAAGTAACCTTCTAGAATGGTCTGAACATAAAAGTTCTTAACTAAACGCAGTCATGGCAGGTAGTTAGGTCCTAGGCCTGTGGCTTCCTTGACAAAGGTCATCTTTACCTTTAAGTGAGCCAGTCTACTGCATCTTTGCATCTAGATGACACATCTTTGAAATACCAGAGTGATCTCTTCCTGACCCCTCGGGGCCCAACCCACTGCAGAAGCCCTCACTGTCACCTTGTTCCCCGCTTCCCATCTCCACAGGCTGTGAATGTTAAGGATCAACTACCCTGTACCCACCAATGTACATGAAACATATGCTTCTGTTTTACTTTTTATCCAAACCCAGAGATTTCCCCACTTCACTTTCTCCCGCCCCCTTCATCTACCACCAGTGATCTCATGCAACACCCCCACCTCTGATTCTAAAGTATAAAATAAGCTGTAAAACCGCCATTCTCCAGAGCACTTTCTCAGTCCGTTGAGAGTTGGCTTCCTGGCCGTTGTCATCAGTTTGGCTCAAATAATCTCACAAAAATTCTTTACAGGTCTGGACATTTCTGTCCGTCTCCTCTCCCATCACTACCTCACACCTGCAGGACTGCAATGTCGTCCTGAATAATTCCGTTTCCACTCTGGCCACCCCGAAATCCATTCTCTTAAATCCCTCTCACCACACTACAGTCACATGACATTCATTTCCAATCTCTGCCCTTAAACGCTAACTACTCCCTTCTACCTCTTGCTTGTCCTCGGTCTGCAGGCTAATGAGCCACTTTGTCAGCTCCAAAAGGCCTTCCCTGTCCGCCTTATGCGGCTCTCTCCCTTCACACTCCCCAATTTCTCATCTTGATTGAAACCAGCGGCCGTTTGTTTCCCTGCTGCCCCGGATCGCCACCTCAGTGAGTGAGGGGCAGGACTGTGCCTAACTTGTTTACAGCTCCATTCACCCCCCTCCCCGTAGTTCAGCGCCCAGAATCTGCGGCAGGAACGAAGGAGGGACCCTAAAGGAGTGTGGAGTCTGGCGGGCTCCCCTTTCGCTGAGCGGGACAACGCCCCGCCGGGCAGGCCGGAGAACGAAGTGGGGTTTGGCTTCTTTGGAAACAGGACTGGGAACTGCGGAACGAAAGGCTGGGAGTCCCACGCGCCCGGGACAGCACCGGCGTGGCGAGCAGCCCGCAATCCTGGTAACCGGCGCCGCGACGCGTCCCATCCCCCACCCGCCACGGCCGCCCGCGCTCCGCAACAAAGGCCGGCTGCAGAGCGGAGGGGCCCCACGCCGCCACATCTGGTGGCGAGGAGGTCTTTCCCCTACCGGTCTCCGCTGCCTGGTACCGGGGAGTACAACCCTCTTAGGGCCGTCCGCGGCTCGTGACTTTCTCTGAGACAAACGGCAACCGTACCTCAACCTGCATGGAAACGACGGCGAAATGGCTCCTGCGGCGGCGGCAGAGGGGCGGGGTCGGTGAGCGGACGCATGCGCAGAAAGCGAGTTTGGCCTCGAGGGCGCCCAGAGGGCGGGGTGCGGCTGGAGCCTCTCTTGGTCTAGGAGATCAGTGGGTCTTGGCAGGGCCACGCTCACCTTTGGCTTGCGGTACTGGGAGAGTTGCGGTCCTGTGCTATTTTGATGCAGCGAGATGTTGTCGTAGGGACCTCTAAGTAGATGAGATGGCCTTCCAAGACAAAGCTGGAAGTCTTAGGTGCTACCTCTCTGTACGGTTGTTTTGATCAAATGAGATGGCATAAGAAAGGCGCTTAGCTCAGTTTTTGGCAGGTAATAGGCGTTCAGTAAGTGTTATTAATTGTTGAGATTCAGATACTTCAGATGCGTTCAGTGAAGGCAATAACCCTGCCTGACTAGCTCAGGCCACTCACTGCAGTGCTAAGTGGTCAGCAAAAACTAGTTTAGTGAATGGATATATCATGCAAGGTTATTTTGGCTTACATTGGAGATCCTTTTGTCTTCAGAGTCTGTGGAGTACTTTGTATTCTGGCTCTGACCAGTGACTCTGTTCAGTGACTCTGAACAGTAGTCACTGTTATATTTTTAACTCTCGTTTTTCCCATGAAGGCAGCAATACAAAATATATCAAGTTGGGGTTGTTCCAGAGAATCCAGACTAAAATCCATTTATCTGGGCCCATCAGACCTGTATATCCTTATTTTTTAACCTCTTTGATTGAGTTTTTTCTTAATTCTTCTAACTCATAGTGATCATTCCCTTTAAAACTCTGTTGCTCTTACAATCAGAATAGCAGTTCAGCATGTATTCATCCTTTTATTTTCTCCATGTATTTTCTCTCTTCAATTAAGAGTAACATCCTTAAGGGCAAGATAATTAATTTTTGTTTCTTTGTACCTTTCAGGGTGTTTACACCTGCAAGTGCCTGATATTTACAATAAGAGAAACCCAACTAACGTAAGTGGATTGCAAAGATTTTGAATTAGATAATGAACACAGCAACATATTAAGTATAAACAAAATTTTCAGGGGTGGAGCTTGAGCTTCCAAGGATTATATAAAATTTTATTATTGAGTTGGTCCTTAATTTAGCCCTTGCACCTGAGACCTGCAATCTCCAGGGGACTGGGTGTCAGTGACAGGCATTACCTTAGCACCCTCTAAGATCTTCCTTAATATTTGCGGATGAAGCTTCAAGACATGCTCCCTTTTCTATCTGTACCTCTTTGACTGTTCCTTTAAAATTGCTTAGCAAAAAACTCTCTCATTGTGTTATTCACTATTTCGAATAGTCACACACGGGCCATTCACAAGCATGTGAATATTTTTCATTCCCTGTGCTCTACTGGTAGAGAATTAGACAAAAATTCCCAACTTGAGAAAAAATATGAGGGTGGCACTATAGTCTGGCTCTGGTAATAATAAATACAAATTTTTGTTTCAGTTCTTGCCTTAGGTTTACCGTCATTTTCAACTTTAGTTTGTCAGCTATTAGTTAAAATGTTTGGCAGTGATGGAATGTTTCTCTCTGTCGTATAAAGAACATATATAGAATTGCTTGGATAACTACAAAAACTAATAATAGCCAACACTTTACTATGCTTATGATGTGCCAGGTGCTGTTTTAAGATGCTGTTTTTATATGTATTACATCACGTAATCTTCACAATAATCCCGGAAGGCAGACATTATAATTTTCATGTTATAGATGAGATAATAACTGAAGGACTAAAAAGTGAAATAATGTGTAGGTCACGTAGCTGGTAAGCAATGGAGCTGAGACTTGAACCCACATGGCCTGGACCTGAGGTCATACAAGTAATCACCAATAGGACAGCTTTGCCTCCCGTACAACCAAGTTACCCTATTTGCCATTTCACACTAAACTGAACCCCACTCTCCACTACATCAGTAGGTCCTTGGTCATTGAATCTTAGGGATAACACTGGAGTGCTAGGAGGTTGTTGACGGGAGAGACCTGGTTCTTCTTGCTGACACATGTAAAGAATTACATATCAGTAAATCTAGTAGCATGTAACCAGTTTATTAGTGGCCCGTTTCCATGGAAGAGAACGGGACTGGGTAGAATAGGGGGTGAAAGGCAAAGTTTCAGGGCAAAGCAGGGCAACAAAAGCAAGGGCGGCTGAAGACCAGGGTGCCAAGCCCCTGGGCAGCCTGAGGCCAGGTGGCAGAGGCCCAATGGGCTGAGAGCCAAGAGCACCCCTAATCTCCAAGAGAGAGCCTAACTTGTTTTGAGGACCTACCCTTTGTTCTGAGGATTTACATAGTTGGTGAGATAGGAGGAAAAAATTACATATTGATTAATGGGTAAATGTGGTGCTGGCTTTCCTGGGGAAATGTGACTATCCAAACTTAGGTAGGTGTGGGGGTCTGTTAGCCGGAATCCTTATGTTGCTCCAGACCCCATTTGTTCATCTTGTAAAACAAATACGTGACAGGAGGCAGTTAATTAAAATTGGGGCACTTTCCAAAGTTATGTATGGGCTCTTTCTGTAAGCATCCGGGACTCCCTCATAAAACAGATAGTGACCAGAGGTAGGTAATTAACCAAAGCTGTCTTATGGGCTCTTTTTTTGGGCACTGGGAATCCTCTCCCACATTCAGGCCTTGGGATGAAAGCACAGTTTCAAGGCTTTCTTTCCCAGATAGTGGAATGCTACCTAGAATTTCAAGGACTTCCCTTCTTTCTTGCTAACATAGTGTTTCTCGAGATGTTGGATCACCTGGCAGTATTATCAGACCAGGCTCAGGACTGTTGAGTTAGCATGTGAGACTTGTCTCCTTCCTCCTCCCTGCCTCGGTTTACTATGTATTCTACCTAATGGGTAAAAGGTTTCCTGGCAACCAGGGTGTTAAATGCTCGCCAGTAACAGTATTGCAGTCTCAAAGTTCTTCTTATGCAGTCTCCTGCCTCAAAGTGTTGTTAAAAGTGGACATATGGCCCTGGCTGCTGTGGCTCAGTGGATTGAGTACCAGCCTGTGAACCAAAGGATCACTGGTTCAGTTCCCAGTTGGAGCACATGCCTGGGTTGCTGGCCAGATCCCTGGAGCTGGGGGGGGGGGGTGCACATGAGAGACAGACACACATTGAAGTTTCATTCCCTCTCTTTCTCCTCCCCTTCCCCTCTCTCTAAAAATATGTAAAGAAAATCTTTTTTTTTAAGTGGACATATGAATTTAAGATTCTTGGTGTGAAATAGTCTGTCATTCCCCTGTTAAGATTCATATTCCGGCTCTGCCAGAGCTGATGCAGACTCTGGCCAGCAGTGTCCACAGTGTTGGGGATGCAACAAACCAAATCACACAGACTGCCGGAGTCCTGTGGAGAAAAAGGGACAGCATGGCCACTTTCTGAGTGAGAGAGCGCCCCAACCCTTGCCTGGACAAGCTTTTATTGCTTTCTGGGAGCACTACACCAAGGAAGGTCCTCATTCATTATGTTCGGGCAGTAAGGATCAAACAATAGATAACGTGCAAAGAACTGTGAGGGCTTATTCTGAGTCAGGGTCAGTTAGCTAAAGGGCCATAAAACTCATTGGGAAACAAACTCGTTTTATGCCTGGACCCTTATCCAAAAATTGAGGGCATTCTTAGCAAAGCAGGTTTCACAGGATTTTATGCATTCTTTTTTAGGCCAGATGGCCCCAAGGAACTGCCCATTCCTGCTCAGGGCTGTACCACCCTCCAGCATTGTTTCAGGCTTAAGTCAGGCAGGGGAAGCAAGGCAGCCAAGAGATTAGGAGACTTCTCACAGACAGAATGAGGACTCAGGCTATGTCAAAGCTGAGGGGTGAGGTCCATTACCCCCTTTTTCTACAGCCTCCAAGTCCTTCTCTGAGGTAACCTTCCTGATCATGCCTGTCTTAGGTTGTCCCTCCCTTGAGGTATCTTATCCATCATTGGCTAACCAGTCATCCTCCTGGGGCCAAGCAGGGTGAAGTGAAAGGAGGTGGAGGTGGGGCCCCTACAAGGAAGATTAGCTTTGTCTCCTTAATGGCTAATGGTCCCAAAGTCTCTTTACTGAGCCTTAGCCTTGGGGGGTGGGGTTACAGCTTTTGAAACTAGGCAGGGCAGTTCCCAGCACACAACCAAGTGTGACCTTTACTAAGATATTTTATTCTCTTTGCCATAGTTACTTCATTTTGAAAATGGGAAGGTGCTATATTGTATCACTTCTAAAACACACGTTTGAAAAAACATTTTGAATCCACTGGAATGAGATGGCATGTCATCCTTCATCAGTATTTTTTACTTTCTCATAGGTATACATAAAATAATGTATTGTAATAAATAGTGTATGAGATTTGGTGAAATATTACCTATATTATAAAGTAATTATACAGAATAAATATGTACATTTTAGTTCCTGGCATTAACTGTATTAAAAACTTTTTTTCTAATTAACCCCAGCATCTGAAGATCACCTTGTCTCATTGCACCCATGTGATTGAGAGGCTGAGTCCCCATCAAGAGCAAGAATGGTAACAGGTATACAGATATGGGGGCCAGCGATCAGTGTGTCCTAGTGCACAAAGTGCTGTGCTGCCCTGTAGGGACAAGATGTACCAACACAGACCACTCCAGGAAGAGGGCACGCTTCACCCATTAGGCATGATTTTTTGTTAACGAAATAACATACAAAACACAAAGCTGATCAGAGGCAGAGTTTGGATTATTCCTTTAAGATTTAGTTTTAAATGTGTGTTACTACAGTAACGCAGGGCCCAAAAGCTGGGGAGGTTTTGACCTAACCTGAAGTTCAAACCTAATGTTCCCGGCCCAGAGAGAGACACGGTTGAATGGAACTGTGGGCGCCCACTAACCGAGCAAAAATATAGCTGGAGAGAATAAGGACAGACCTGAAAGGTGCTAGACACGGAAATGTAATGCATTAAAACAAGAGAAAAGTTAAATCCCTTTTTAAGTGGAATTAAGATTGGCACTGTTAATGGCTTACTATTTAGGATTGATGACTTCAGTGCAATGAATGTCACAGGTGCGGTGTCTAATGTGGCCAGCAGAAACGACTGTTTCGATCTTGAATGAAGAATAAGGCATAGATTTGCCGCCTTTAAAATTATTGGTACTCGTTGAAATGCCAATTTCTTGTTTTTAATGGCTTCCTGGGCATATGTTGTTATTTTGCCAGCTAATAGTTAAAAGGTTCCGTGGTGATGTAATGTTTTTCTCAGTTGTATAAAGAACACACACTGAATTGCTTGGATACCTACAAAAACTAGTGAGAAGTAACACCTCCCCGGGCCTGTGATACGCCAGACACTATTCTATTCATTTTTTAAAAATGAGCGAGCATGACATTGCAGGTCATTCACAGGTATTATTTTTCTATATCCATTGTACTGGTTTCTATTGAAACATTCATACAAGCTCTATGGCTACCTGTACAGAAATTTACTCAAGTTCATTGGACTTTGTAACATGCTTTGTTCCACTTTTACAGTTATATTTTTTCTCTGCCTTTATTCGATAGAAATTAGTTTAATATTAGTTTGGTTGGCTTCTTACGTATGTGGTCATTGAAACACCATTTTCACATGGCTGTTACAGTTGCCATGTCAAAGGGCGGAGCGTTATAGCCCCATACATTTGCATACTGGAGCATTTTGTGCCCTGCTTTTTATCCTATCAGCCTGCGCTGATTCTAATACAATTCTGTAGGGTTGTGGAATGTTACTTTTTTCAGTGTTAATTAGTTTCCCACATCCAGAATTTGTAATTTACTGTTGATATTAGTACAAAATGTACTGTATTTGCATGAACCAAAAAAAAAATGTTTTTCCTCTTCAAACTACTTCAGAACTTTCAAAAAAGGTAAATGGGATATACTAACCTATTAAGGGACAATGACTCTCAGATTGAGACACAAAGGAAAACATAAATTTGCTGTATTTACAAAGAGGTATTTGAGTGAAAAATTCCAAAAGCTCGAAAAAAGATGAAGATGCGCTAAATAAACCTATCTCTAAAAAATGCCAAAAAAATAAAAAATGTTGATTACAATAAAAAAATTGCAGTGCTACCAAGAAAGAAAATGCCTTAAAGGTAACAAAAAGAAGGGAAGAAATGAACTCGAAGGGGCGAGAGGACACTGATTTAAGCACTTACCTTAAGAGAGTCTCTGTGGATCACGGATGAATTTAAGCTTCCACTTATGAAAGCTGCAGGGGGCCAGGAGAGAGGAAACAGCTAGACGGTGCCCCCAGGGAAGACGATGCAGCCAGAGTGCCTTACAGCTCCAGGGAAAAGGGAACAATAGCAACAATCAAACAAAAACGAATTCAAAGCAAACATAACAGTAAAACAAACTCAGAAGAGGAGCACGTTGAAGGAAACGTGTCTGTTACAAACTCGATGCTGGGTAGAGGGAAAAGAAGACTTGAGTATTGGGTTGAATAAAATATTTCCCATGTCATTTTGACATTGGAAACTAAATTCAAAGATAACAAGTCAGTTTATAATATTCCAAAACTTTATTTTTGATTAAAGGCATTACTGGTAACTCACTGCTATATAATAATCATTCCTGTGGAATTGGATGATAAATTAGATCGATAAACTCAGCTCTGTTTGGTTAGTCACTTTTGTCATTTTAATCATCATATTGCTCTTTGTGTTCCAAAGATCTCACTAAGCCTCTTAAAAATTCTCCAAGCACCGATTTCAGAAAATTCATATGTGATTAATGCATCGTATAAAATTGATAAATCTCCTATTGCTGAAGATGAGTGACTCCTTGCAAGTGTGCCTGGGAAGTAACAGTGATGCGGGAAGCTTTGAAGAACCTTTGTTTACCCAAACCCAAGCACCCTGGGAAGAGCAATAAGCCGTTTGGGAAAGCAAACAGCAGGATGTGCAGAAGGGCTAAGATTAGCACCCCCCCCCCCGCCCCCCGCCAGTCAGAACTAATTTCCGCATTTAGCCTTTGTACTCTGCTTCTGCCACATGGGTATAGGGAGCCCTATAGCTAGAACTAACTTCCACATTCCGTTTCTGTATCCCGCTTTGCTACATAGACAGGAAGACCCTGCAGACTATATAAACCCCAAGAATCCTTTGTTCGGGGTTCAGAATTTGGAGACTGACTCCTCTGGACCCATGAACATAATAAACTTATCGTGTTTTCCACTATCTCCTCTGGGTGTGAGTTTCTTCCCGCAACAACAGTAGCCCCTGGGCTCACTGCACAAGGGACAATGGCCTTCACTTTCCAATAATTCAGGGGGATGTGAAGGGTGACACTTCCTTATCAGTGCGGGGAGGGGAAGTCTGAGCAGAGAACTCTTTGGTTCTTCGAAACTTGGAGCTTTTAGGAGTTCTCATAGAGCAACAAGTGGAGACTTGAATCTTTTCAGAAGGCCTCTCCTTTGGGCCCCTTGGAAGAACTGAAGCAAGTCCTCACCTAAGCCAGTGTTTTGGGGAAAACCTGTGACATCACAATCAATCTGAAAGTGGGTGTTCTCCAGTTAGACTGAGCGGCCGAGTAAGCTGGTGTGTTAATGCAATAACTGTGTGTGGTTAAGTGGCGTTGTAATTTGGCATTCAAGTTAGCACATCTGAGTAAATGCCACAGTTCAGAGTTTTCCTAGATTCCAAATGAATATTCATTAAAATGAAAGTATACCCTAGTGGTTTAAAATGAGAAAACTGTACAATAGGGTGAACATCCAGAAATCAACATAATGGGAGCTACTGAAGGCAAATGGAATTAATTACAATTTTCCTCTTGATTCCCTTTCATCCGCATGGGTGGACATTTCTCCGCACAAAGTTTGCACAGTGTTGAATGACTGAGGACCCACAACTCCTTTTACATTTTTCGCCCCTTCAGAAAACAAAGCTTTTTAAAGATCACAGTAGGTACTTAAATACTTGTTGATTGATGTGAGATCTCATTTGACAGGAAAGACTTTAGTGCAAGCTCATCTATAAAGTCCTTGAGAAATGGATGCACTCTTCAAGGTAGGTTACATCACAATGTACACACCCCGACTTGATAGGCATTAGCTGGCTTCCAAGTTTGAATTCTTTAAGTCAGGAAAACAAAGGAAATCCAGACTCTTCAGTTTAGCTTCTGCCCTATCTGTGAACTCCTTGGAGGCTTTCTGCAGCGGAAGCCGGGGTGGGCCCATGGGAATTCCAGACACCAGTGTCATAATGGCTTTGGTCTGCGGCACTCCAAAACCTATACAGAAAAAGTAAATGAGGACGATGTGACTGGGACTGTCTACTCCACCACGCACATCCCAAATAAGCAGTCACGTCCTTACAGTGACTATTACGACAGCATAAGGTGGGCTGAAAAGTGGGAACATTTCTAGTCCATACGGCAAACTTAGAAGACATAGGGAATCCTTCTTCCTGCCTCAGATACATAGACATGCTGGGGAAAACATTTTTTAACAAACTGACAAGCTGCAACACAAAACAAAGTAAGCCTCAAAATCAACCGTAAAAGCCGGAAGGAGGGACGAAAGTCATCAGGAATAGAGAGGTCAGAGCAGTGAGGAACTGAAGCCAAAAGGTCCATGAAAATAATCTGATTCAGGGGTACACTGCTGTTGCCCACATGATACAGGGCTTCATCACTATAACAGAATTTGGCTCAAGCGTATCTAAGAAAGCCCTGAGAAATGCGCTATTTAAGGTAGTTTATGAGTCAGAGCAGCTGTCAAAGCTGGGGCAGGAATGCAAAGCAAGCCTGGGGTCTGTGCACAGTGAGGAGCTGGACTAGAACTCCTCCGGTAAAACTGGTAGCCAGCCTTCCATGAAAAGCAAGAAAATAAAATCTGGCCCACTGGCTTAAGAATAGAGGCCTAGCCCTTGTCTTGTGCCAGGGCTGTAGAGGAAAAAAAGATCATGTGAAAGAAATCCCAAGCCTGTGCCATATATGAATGACAGGTCCATATTTGCTTTATGCACTTGGTGTAGGTACCAGACTAAAGAAAGAACTAAATAGAAACTGAGACATGGAACAAACCAACTGGATGAAAGGGACTGGATGAAAGAAGGTGAAGGGATTAGCCACAGAACATGTGGCTAATGCACTTGGTGTAGGTACCAGACTAAAGAAAGAACTAAATAGAAACTGAGACATGGAACAAACCAACTGGATGAAAGGGACTGGATGAAAGAAGGTGAAGGGATTAGCCACAGAACATGTATGCATAGCCCGCAGTGACATGCAACAGTGTGGTGATGGCCAGAGGGAAGGGGGGGGATGGAGCAGGAGAGGTGGGCACAAAGGGAAGGAGAATGGGACCTCTGTAATGGTGTAAACTACAAAAAGGGAAGGAAGGAAGGAAGGAAGGAAGGAAGGAAGGAAGGAAGGAAGGAAGGAAGGAAGGAAGGAAGGAAGGAAGGAAGGAAGGAAGGAAGGAGGGAAGGAAGGAAGGAGGGAAGGAAGGAGAAAATAACCTAGATTGGTTAGAACTGGTGACACCACGTGTCCCAGGACATGCAGACACAAAACCACTCGACAGGACACCTCACAGCCTAGAGGACAGTGGGCTCCCCAGTAAACAACGGTCTCTGAAGACAAATTCAGAGTTACAAGTTACAGAGCGCATGAGGAGAAAGAAGCTTCATGAAGGTCAGCAAATGCACAGCTAGCAAGTTTCACAGCCCATGAACCGATGATACAGAATTCTGCAAGAGACTTCGAAGAGGTCAGAGACATAGAAGCCATAGGCTAAGAGAAGGGCATGTCAATCAAGAACGGGAAGACCTGGAAAAGAAAAACAGCCAGTGAGAAATACTGAAAAAAAAAAATCAATGGAAGTAAACATAGCTAAAGATAGAATCAGTGATTTTGAAGATAGATCTCAGAAAAGAATTCACAATAGAGATAGAGGTATTTGTTTTTTTTAACTGTCTATTGCCTTTGAACCCATGGTATAAGAAGTAACTTTCTTTTGCTAAGATAACTCAGTTACAGTAACACTTTAGCACTGGGAAGTAAAATACTAGAATGACTCAATGTACAGAATACAGTTTGATGAATGCAACATGGTCCTCCCAGGCTTGGTGTGAACGGTGGGAGAGGGAGCTATCTTCATGATAGGGCTGCAGGTTTTGCAGGATAAGTTTCCCTTTGACTAAACCATGACACCTCCAAGTCCCAAGAAAGTCTGAAATGAGCTTTTTAAGATATGCTCTTTTACAGCATGAAAACTGTCTTCAAGATTCCTCTTTTAAAATGCAAATATTCCAGACAAATTTAATCATTTCAGCTAATACCCTAGAGCTATATTTTGTAGATCATTGCTGAGTATTATACATGCAGGTAAACTTTTAGTTCTTTTAAAGATTAAATAGTTCAACATCTAGTTCAGTGCACTTTAGGACCATTGTAACTATCACAGCAAACCCACAGTTCTGCAAAAAGCATTGCTTAGGGAAAGGGAATAATGACAGGTCATTAATAGTACTGTGGCACACAGATACAACAAAAATCAAGAAAGTGGAAAAGCAAATGGACTCTGGCTGGTGGCTCAGATGGTTGGAGTATCATCCCGTACACCAAAAGGTTGCGGGTTCAATTCCCAGTCAGGGGATGTACAGGAGGCAACCCATCCATGTTTTTCTCTCTCTTTCTCAAATCAGTAAAAACATATTGTCAAGCGAGGATCTTTTTTAGAAAGCAAATGGAACACATTGTCTTTGAAGGATTGAAAGCGAGCTGAGAAGCCTGTGAGAACGAGGGACATAGTACCTACTAGGTGCTTCGGGCTCAGGAGCAGTGGCCAGGATAAGTCAGGAAAGGCTCTGAATGGGAGGTAGGAGGTTTGCCAAGATTAAACCTAAAAGGTTTCCTGGACTGAACCCAAGTTCTTAGGGAGGATCAATCTCTTGCAGAAGTGGAGTGAATGGTAGCTTTTGCCATGTGCCATAGTATCAGACAGGAGACTCTGGAGATAGTTCTCTACTCAATTCCACTACATTTCCCTCAAATTTTACATTTGTCCTATTATCCAATCCTCAATCTATTTAAACTCAGTCGTGTTGATGAACTCTTTTGAAGTTGCAAATACTCCTGGGAAAGCTGTCAGTCATTCACACTTTAGTAAGATCTGTATCCACACTGCCTTCCTCTCAGCACTTAGGCTGAGATCAGCTGCAGTGTAGTGGGAGCATTTTAATAAGAGGCAAGTAAAGGGTGGGAGTGCTGATAGCGCAGGAGAGAAGGAACAAAAAGCGGTGTGTGCCTGGGCTGGGGAGGTGAACAGGGTGCTGAAGTGGCAAAGAGAGGTTTGAGAAAGGGTGCCCGAGACCTTCAACTAGGTTTACGTAATCATTTTATCAGATCTGTCCTGCAGGTTAGCATCGGAAATAACTGCAGTGGAGCATGAAAAGGTGTTCCCGTTGAACCTTCAGAGAAAGTCCATTTCCTGTACATTCTCCAGGCAGGAAACTTACCTAGTTTGACCACAAAGTTGATGAACCTCTGAATACAAAACTGGAAAGGAACAAACAAATCTATAGTCAGTATTACTGGACTATGATAACAGTGTAAAGAACTTAGAAGTCAAGTTAGAGGAGCCCCAAACCAAAAGTCCACATGCCTTAATTTTCTGAAAGTCTGTCAGAGTGAAGAAAATCGGCCAAGTAAGGATGGTTGGAGATCCATCCAGGTCACGGCAGGATCTTTTCAAACAGTTAAGCTTTGCAAAATGGACCCACACAGAAAAGAAGTTCTGATGATAGGATTGTGCAATAGAGATGTCAGAGAGGGAAGACAGCCTTTAACCCATCAAGCTCACTAGGTAAACATATCAGACAGTGCAGTTCTTTCCAAACTAGGGCACACTAACCTCTGGGGTACTTTCCACGATACCCAAGGGGCAAACGGCCAAGACAAAGGTTCATGGGAGTCAGTTTTTAGACAACTTCTATAAGTGCTACCTTCCAAACTGATCAGAGTAAGAATTCACATATAATGGAATGGTGGGTTGTCTTGTTTATCTCCCCTCTCAGTCCTTCTTTTTCTTCCCTTTTTGAAAAAATAAGGATATATCTCCCCCATCACTGCCCTGGGACACATCTGGGAACCAAATAAGGGAGCAAATCAAAATGTCGGCATTGGCATTCACAAGGAAAGTGACAGAGTGATTGCTCCAACTGACGGAGAACGAGAACTCTAAAAAAAAATCGGAGGTTTTCAGTTTTTTGCTTTCAACATGGCTACTCAGGTTGTCAGCTGAAAAGCATCAAATGATCGGGCCTTCTGATTTTTGGCATGTGACTCCAAAAGAATTGAGGGACCCTGCTCACACAAAATCTCTTCCATTCTTATCTAGTAATTTATATGGACAGGGGTTCACAGCACTTATTTTTCTACAACAAGAACCAGAAATAACATTGGTGCTGAACTTGAACTCATCTTAGCGTTAAGTAGTACCCATTCATGATTTCATGAACTAATTCATAGATAAGGACTCCCATCCATCTCATTAAGAGATGTATTTTCAATAACATTGTCATTTTATGCTGTTTTAATCAATTGTATAGTTGTAATCAAAATTTAAAGCAGAACAAAATTGTAATATGCAGAAGCTTATAAACATAGGTATATTCCCCCCTCACTCTCAAACTATAGCACATCACATCCACAAGCCTGCACTTTGCTGCTTTTTTCCGCTTAATATATCATGGAGATCTTTTCAGATCTATGCATATAAGCCTAGCTCATCCTTTTAAGGTGCTGTATATCATTTGATCGTACAGTTCAAAAATGAAGCATTTAACCATTTCCTTATAGATGGATACTTGGGAAGCTTCCATCTTTTGCAATTCTAAATAATACTATAAGGGACATCTTTGTACCTGTGTCTGTTCACGTATGTAAATGTAGCAAATGGTATTCAAGCCCATGAGAATGACTAAGGTCCGCCCCAATTAGTTACCTCTTCACTGGACTGTAAACTCCTGTAGGGCAGGGACCAGCTTTGTTGAAATTCTGCGCTCAGCTCAGCCCCTGGCCTATGTGTGCATGAGCAAATGAGACCTACTTGCTGTTGCCTTCCATGAGTAGAAACAGAGAAGATGGTACACTAACTTCCTTACGAATATTGTATTGAGGAGGAGGATTTATTTGAGCAGGACTAAAGGGGGAAGAAAGAGATGGCGACTGGATCAGCCAAGAAAGGAACCACTAAGGGTCCCCTTCCCACCTGTTTCTCAGCCCCCTCCATCCTGCGCACTCCCTGTCTTTCAGCTCGGGACAGGTTGAAATGTTCAGAAATAACTTTTTCTGGGAAACGAAGGAAAAGTAAAATCATGAATGCAAAGAGATGTCAGGGTCCACACGATTCACACCTCTTATCGTAGTTGAAATCAAAGTCATGCCGATTTTTAATATAATTGGCATAGCTTCCTAAGCCCCTACCATGTCCATGCTCTGAGGCTGAAAAAAGGTAAATATTTAAATAAGCTATTGGAACTCTAAGTAGGAAGTAGATTCAGGTTGGCTTAGAGCTCAGGGCGGGCCACCTGCTCTGGTCTTGCTCATGTCTTCCCTTCCCACTTAGTTTCTTGGGACACACCTCTCGGTCACTTTCATCATCCTGAAACTCCGTGTGCCGCTAGGCCTCCAGGGGTCTTTCTCCTGTGCCTACCCTACTTCTTTCCACTTCATCCATTTACGGGCAGCACACACACTACCCAGGGGCTGAGACCAGCTCTATCCAGTGAGGCCCTTTGTTCTCTGGACAGCTGGGACAGCTGGCTGTCCTCTCTGTAACTGTCACAGCAGCCATGGCTCCTCCCTGTCACAAGTGAGCTCCTGCTGCTTTTCCTTCCCGGCTTCAAAGCCAGTGGCTCCTGCTTCCTGCTTAGTGGGTGTTTTCTGTTCTCAGCACATTTTCATGGGGAAGAGGACTAACATGCTCTGGCTTTGAATGATGTCTCCCTATTGCAGGTCACCAGCATCACAGCTTCTGGTGGCTCAGGTGTGACATCCTCAAGGGGATGGCAGGTGGTCATTCCCCCAGAAATCTATCATCGCCATTTTATAATTGCAAAAGTACTTTGAACACGGAGTAAAAAGAAGATCATTTCCAGGAGGAACAGAGGAGTCATTCCGGTACGGGGCCTGCCCTGATTAGAAACGTAGGGGGCACGGATGACGGGCGCAGTTTGATTTTAAACAAGAAAAAAGCAAGAAACAGGAGGCAAGTGAAGAAAGAGACAGCTGGGCAGTTTTAACGAGGCGGGTACGGTAGGACGAGAGAGACTGCGAATTTGCGAGCGGGAAAGCACAAAGGCTGTATGTAATGCATGTGGAGGAGGAAAAAATGTTAACCTGGTAATTCAGGGCCGAAGAGAGGTCCTTCCGTTCAAAAGCCTCCAACATCTGGTTCGTCTTTTTCCCCAGGTAGTTGTAGGTGCTGGAAAGAAAACAGCAGGTGCTGTAGGGTCAACAACCCGGTGGGAAAGGTCCGGATCGCCAAACCCTTCTGCGGCCTGCAAGGCATAGATGACCGATCCTCTAGGACGTCTGTTTTTAGGCTCTAACCTACCAGAAGGTCAGGTGTCTTCAGTTCCGACGTTTCCAGCGTCACTGAGCAGTGCCCAGAGGATGCAGAGAACACCCGAGCAGTAAAGAAAGTAAAGAAACATGGGAGAAGGATCAAATGAGAAAAAAGAAGAAAGGAAAGATGGAGGCGTGTTTAGAGAGGAACCACCAGCCAACCCCTGGCCTGAGACCAGAGCTGGATAATAGATAAGAACAGTGGGTAAGGGGCAGTGTCTGGGGTGAGTCCCAGAGGCCTGAGGCTGAGGAAGTGTGTAGAGGGCGCACCATAGTACAAGGGGCAATTCCCAATGGACCACCTAAATTCTTAAATTTAGGTACTACCTAGAGACCAGCTTCCAGAAAATAGCAATGATAATAAAATAAGAGGCCATTTATTAAGTGCATATTATATTCCATGTGCTTGACACACATCGTGTCTCATTCTCCCCAGGCTCTGCAAGGCAGGCCTGGTCTGCACTGTACTGTGAGAAAGCTGGGGCTGCAGAAGGGCCACGGAGTTATCTTGAAGTTTCCATCACTACGTGCAGTGATCCGTGACAAGTCGGCACAAAGAGAGGTTATATGATCTCATAAAATGTTCTTGTGCATTAAAAAGAAAAAAGCTCCGACTTCAGCAATAAAAACAAATACCTCGGACTAATCACTAAAATCTCAGAGAAGCCAGAAAGATAGGTTATAAAAATTTATGGCTAGGATGTTTCCCCCTTTGTTAACAATTTCTTGTAAAGTAAGTATGAGACCATAGGCCTATCTTGTACCAAGAATAGAATGTTTTTCATGTATATAGACCCAGGAGTCAACAGCAAGGGGTTCCAAGAACATGACATTTATATTATTGTCTGGTAATAAAGTAAGGAAATGAAAATATCATAGCCGAGAAAAGTCACTTGTAGGTATGAGACACTCCTAAGTCCCAGTGTGCGCAGGGATGTCTGAGGGCTTCCAGAAAAGTACATTCAAATCCCAGGGGTCTTAGCTGTGTCCTCAGTTAGACAGAAAGGAACAGGGTTATAAATTAAGAAGACATGAAGTCTAACCAAATGTACTCTGCTTATAAATCAGGTTGACGGAATTAAAATGTCTACCATTGAGGCCAAAAAACCGAGAGTCAAAAAAGTCATACTTTCCAAGGGGGAAAATGTTTCTATGGTCAGAAGATGCAGGTTTCCTTGACAGAAATGGCCCTACCGTGATGATGGATGCTACAGCCCCTCCTAGCTTGTGAACAAGCCATTAAGACTATCTAATTCAGTTACTCCTCATCAAAGCCACGCTCACCAAGACATGCTATGAATATTACTTTGCTTCCCCTGTACGTTTCCCGCAGGGAAGAAATGCACTTTCAGTCAGTGTGAGTATTTCAATCCGTCTGCTTGCAGGCACATGTCTAATGAATTAGGTTAACACGTGCAGTGGACATGCTAACCGAATCGCCTTCTCCCCTAAGCCTTCTGCTGAGCCTCTGTGATTCTGCTTTCCTGGCCACAGCACGTAGGACCTGAGGTGCATACTTGATTATCTGGTGATATCCTGACATGCCGTGAATGGGCAGCTGCTGTTGACCATGTGTGTGCGGAAGCAGAGAGAGCTCATCTGGAGAGAAAGAAAGAGCTGTGCAGAGATGCAGAGGTGAGCATGTCCAGAGGACAGCAGATGGATGGAGACCAAGCTGCCTTGGCTGGTGAGAGCCTTGTCATTTTGCGAAGCGCTACTTAATTCCCTATCACTGGAAGACTGTGGGGAAGAAAGACAACTTCTACAGAAAAGGTGTACATGCAGGAAGTATTGCTACTTAGAAGGAGAATGCCTCTGGCGGGGGGGGCTTCTATACACTTACACACTGATGACAACTGGGAACCATGCGTCCTGCTTACCTGCCCACCGCTCCTGTTGCTCCCATCACCAGAGCACTCAGCAGTTGCTGGTTGGAAACAAACAAAAGCATATTTACTTTCATGAAAAACAGAGAAGATGTGACTCTATAAGCAGCTCCAGAAATTGTTTTTGGGGGAAACTGGCCTGCAGGACATGCCAAGTGTTGACTTACCTCATCCACCCCAAAAAGGAAAGCAAACTGCTGCTGGCGATGCTGATCAACGCACTGCCCGAAGTCTAAGAAATCCGTGTCACTAAATTTCAGCCCTCCGAAGGTGGGGACCTTCTCCTGAATCCCGTCCAGCAACTCCTCAGCGCGAACTGCTCAAAACAACAGGTGCCTCGTTAGTCTGCCCACCTCCAGAAAACATCAAACGGCATCCTCGTGGCCTCACACATCTGCACTGAGGTCCCAGGAGCTGTTCTCAGCCTGAATTGACTGCAGGTTGGACATGACCACTTGCCCTCACCTGGCAGGTCCTATGTGTTATACTTGTCAAACGCTAGCCCCAAGTCTCCCACTCCCTGAAGACTATCAATGAATATTTATAGAGGACAACTTCTATTTTTATTTTTAGGAAAGTTAGACAGGAATGGAGTTTTAAAAATAATCTAAAACATTTCATTTCATTGTGACAATCTTCGCACTGGAGAAGTAGAGTGATGATAACAGAACAGCTGGAAGAAAAGCAAGAAAAGGTCAGAGACCCTTGTTAGGTGCCAGGCTACAGCAGGGCACAAGGTAGAGAGACGCAGTTCTGTCCCAGTGGGGCTTCCGGCTGTATCTCCCTGTATGAGAAGGAGCGGGGTGTGTGATAGACACAAGGTGTCTTGGAGTCAACTCCTCCTTCATACTCCACTTCCATTGTCAGCTGGTGTCAATGCCCGTAAAGGCTGACCTATTTCCAGTGGGAGTGGCTTATTTCAGAGCAGTCGGAACCATCTAGTGAATGGTGCTATGCTTTTACAACATGGGGCAGGGGGGAAAGAGTGAGCAGGGTTTCTTTGTGCAATAGGGTAAGATGTGAGGGGGTAGAGAAAGAAACCTGGAAGGAAGGAGTACTTACTCTTTACCCCTGTAATGAAAGGGATGTGATAGTAATAAAAAGGCAGTTCTGGGGCAGCAGCGGCCACCTCCTTCAGGAAATCAACGAGGTCATCTGAAAGAACAGCCGGCAAAGTTATGATGTGAATACGTGTGACAGACTGGCTTTCCCTGGTAGATGAACCATCTAATGAAATGCAGCCATGTTTTCGGAAGCCAAGATTCTTGGCCTGTCTTGCCATCCCTGAGATTGCTTGCTGCAATATCTTTGCAACTCACTTCATTCAAAGTTTTATTTTCCTTTCTGTAGAAAGGCCAAAGAGACTATCACTTTCCTACAACTTTATTTAAAAAAATATTTATTTATTCTTAGAGAGAGGGAATTGGAGGAAGACAAAGAAACATCAATGTGTGGTTGCCTCTTGCACGCCCCCTACTGGGGACCTGGCCTGCAATCCAGGCATGTACCCTGACTGGGAATCCAACCAGCGACTCCCTGGTTTGCAAGCCACTACTCAATCCACCGAGCTATACCAGCCAAGGGTTTTTCCTACCATTTTAAACTACTACTAAAACACTGTTGTGAACCTTCCCACCTATTAAGAGAAGCTCATGAAACACTCTCACAAAAACAAGAAGCCCATAGGCAGAACTCTTGTCCTCTTACCCCAGAAGGGCTAAGCGCTGTCAGTGAACAACACATACTTTGCATTAGGATCAGAAAGAGAAAGCTGTAACAGAAAATTCTACAACAAAAGGATAAGCAATGTCTGCTCAAAGAGGGAAGTTACAAAGGTAGTCACGTATCTCTGGGTGGCTTGGCTGGTTGGAGCATCGTCCCACACACCAGAAGGCTGTGGGTTCATTTCCCAGTCAGGACGCATACCTAGGTTGTGGGCTTCATCCCTGGTTAGGGTGTGGACAGAAGGCAACCAATGGATGTTTCTCTCTCACACTGATGCCTCTCTCAAGAGGAGTCAACCTCCCACAACAATTCAAACAGGGTTTGGTGCTTTTTCCTTTTGGGGAGAAATCCAGGTGTATTAGAAGAGAGCTCTCTCTAGTTTATACAGAGGTCTGGGGACTTTCTACGTCATCCAGCATGAGCTCTAACTGCAACATTACTGCAGAGAATAAACGAATCCAGCTGACTTGCTTCTGATGCCACTGGAGACTGGGAGAGAGAATCTTACATTCTTCACCTGAACACTGTGATGATGTGTTCTGCCAGTGATAAATATTTCTGATAAAATTATTATGTATAATTTGTTCCTTTTCCATGTCTTTTGGAGAAAGTATTCATGTAGAAGTTTAAAATGCTATGGGAAAAAAATTTCAAACATTTATTTTAAAGTCCCCAAATAGCAGTATTTAAATTACTTATCTGTCTTAACAAGTATTTTCTCTCGATCAATAATAGGTAGTTTTTTTTGTGATAACTTCAACCCATTATCCATTTAGTTATGGATTTATTTAATCATGCATGCAAATAACATCTTGTCTGTTTCTAATCCTTTGAAAATTCGTGTTTCTTTTTTTGCTAATCAGAAGAATTAAAAAAGACTCAGTGTACTTGGAAACCACAAATAGTTTCCACAGAGATGGCAGAGGAGGAGAAAACAATACCTTGATATTTTGGAAGACAATAGATGTTTCTGTGGAATCTCCTTTCAGATTCATCATTCACTCAACATCAAATAGCACATGCCGTCTCAAAACGCTCAGCACTTACATTCCTCTTTTTTTGAGAAAAGTGGTCCCATGCTTTGCCATGTGACTCTGAACCCTGCACAACTGGTACACCAAGGCCCAGACACCTGACCCAAACACAGGCACCTATAGGCTGACCTGGGGCTTGGGGGATGACCCAATCAGAGTGCTAGACAAAGGAGTTAAAATCTTGCCCTGGCTGGTGTAGCTCAGTGGATTGAGCCCAGGTTTGTGCAGCAAAGGATCACAGGTTTGATTCCCAGTCAGAGCACGTGCCTGGGTTGCAGGCCAGGTCCCCAGTAGGGGACCCATGAGAGGCAACCACACATGGATGTGTCTCTCCCACTCTTTCTCCTTCCCTTCCCCTCTCTCTAAAAATAAAACATAAAGTATTTTTTTAAAAGAGTTGAAATCTTTTAATGAAGTCTTTTCTTGTACAGATCCAGAGAGGCCAAATATTGTGGAGAACTGCTGTACCACTGCCCCGTCTCCCTCCAGTCCATCAAGCTCTACTTCTGTGGGTTCAGTAGAACCATTGTGAATGAAGGCAAGAAGAAGTGCACCAGGTGAGGTACTGAGCATTCAGATCTGCCTAATTACCTTTGTTCCGTGGCTTCAGAAAGAAAGGTGCAATGACAGCAATGCCGTCAGCTCCTATTTCTGCTGCATGTTTGGCCTTTAAAAGAAGAAAGAGGACTGTTGGGGGTCTGGTCACAGTTCTGACCAGTGGGTCTGGGGGTTTTCAAGTGCCAACGAGCAAGTCTCTGACACCGGCTGGGTGTCCTACAATTCAAATCAGCTCCGACACTATCTACCTGGCCATAGGCTCAGTTCGCACGGGTTAAGGGCTCAATCCCCTAACCTTCTCTCCCTGTTCAGGTAATAACCCAGGTTATTACCTGTGCTTCTGACCCACTGGCTATAGATGAGAGGTTCCAACAACCCCCTCATGGGTTGATTAACTTGCTAGAGAGGCTCGCAGAACTCAGAGAAACATTTACTTACTAGAACACCAGTTTATTACAAAAAGGATAAAACCCAGAAAGAGGTGCACAGGGCAAGGCGTGGAGAAAGGGAGTGGAGCCCCCGTGCCCTAGGGAATGCAAGGGGGCCGCTCTCCCCAAATCTCTACCTGTTTGCCACTCTGGAAGCCCTCTGGCATCTCCTCTTTTGAATTTTTATGGAGGCGTCATTTCATAGGCACGATTGATTAAATAACTGGCCATTGGTGAGTAATTCAACTTCCAGCCCCTGCCCCTGTAATCCACTCTTTACTTGGTCGGTTGTCCTGGTAACCAGCCCCATCCTCAGGTTCTTTACAAAAGTTACCTCTTTATCTTACAAGAAACAGCTTTATTGCTCTCATCCCAGGAAATTCCAAGGGTTTTAGGAGCTCTTTGCCAAAAAAGGGACAAAGACCAAATACAGCAGTCCTTCCTTATTCATGTAGCTAGTTCATTTCTTAACATAATGTCTTCACAGAGGCTCATCCATACTGTAGCATATGACAGGATGGATTTCCTTCCTTTTGAAGATGGAATAATACCCCACTGTATGTATGTACCCTGTTTGTTTACCCATTCATCCTCAGATGTGCATTGGGGCTGCTTCCACCTCTTGGCTATTGTGAAAGGCGCTGCTGTGAACATCAGTGGGGGCAATCTTTTGTGTTTCAGTTCACTCTCCCCCTCCAGGCAGCAATTCTCAGTTCTTATCACTCATCATGGCTAAACCCCATCTTCCACCTTTTTTAGGCCCAGCAGGTGACCTGGCCTTTTACTTCCTAGAGAAAACAGTTTGGCCTAAAGTGTGCTGCCTACCCGCAAACTTCTCTACCTCTATTCCCATCCTCACTTTGCTGGGAGAAAAGAGGTGCCTCCCTCTTCCATTCAAAGCTCTGCTACAATGGTTATCACCTGGGCTATTATTCTCTTTGGGGCTCTGGGCCTGTTTCTGGGTGGGGAGCTCTATGAGTTCACACACCTTATATTCTCCCGCATGGCAACCAACACGTACCAAAAATACTATTGATTAGAACTTCAGCATGAAAATGGAGGCCCCCGAGGGGTCTCTCCCAGATGGACCTACATACATACCAGTTCCTGTGAATCCTTCAAGCTCAGGGCTCCTACATGGATCACCACATGATCCAACCTGCAAACGAGAAAGCACGGTTGCATCACTGGAAGTTTAGGACAACACAGAAGGGCTGCGCCATCTTGGTTTGTGCTGGTTTTAGCAGTTAAGTAATACCAGTCTCATGACTATCAAATTCTGCAGTGGTCTTTATAATTAACCTAATGTGGGATTAAAAAATGTCCAGAGAATAACATTTAAGGTTCAGTAGAGGAGTAGAATTTTGAAACCAGTGATTAATTAATCAAGCAGCGCTTCAGTACATTTTTCGACACAGCATTGTTTTAGGTGCTGTATTTGATGGCAATAACACACATAAAGGTAGGTGACAAAATGAGATTTGTGTGTGTGTGTTTGTGCAGGAGATAAAAGTAAAGAGGTTCCTCAAAGAGAACAACCAGGAACTAGCCATGTGAGAAGTGAATTCACTGGAAAAAGCTTTTCCCTATCTTGTCAGTCCCTAGAATTTGGCCATCAGAGGTTTTCTCCGAGACTCCGTTGTACAGCGTTGAAGGTGCTCCGTGTGGCCCCGTGGAAGAGGCCAGAGTGACACTGGTCTTCTCAGGGCAGGATGGCTAAGACTCAGCTGTGAATCCAGGTGTCCCAGTGAGTTTGAGGGACTCTGAGTGACACAGACCTCATCCTCATGGCATGGTTTCCATTTAGACCCAGTTGCGCTCTGCATGGATTCTTGAGTTGTCTGTCTTAGATAAAATGGGACCTAGCTGGGAGAGGATATGATCAGGTTTGCATTGTTAAAGGACAATAAAAGATTCTGGAAGGAGAAAAGCAGCTGACCGACCCATTTCGCTCTCACCGGCAGCTTTATGGTAGGACCTCCTTGTCCCTTTCTCTCGGCTCAAGTCAAAACCACCACCCATTTTCTGCTCCCCTCCACCGTGCTGCTGGGTGCGGCTGGAGAAAACTGCCCTATGGCTTTAACACAAACATCCTGCATCAGGAGAAGGAGGATCTAAAAAGCCTTCTGGTCAACCTGACTGACTTGCTTTTCCAATTCCCTGCAGTGGCTACTCCAACTCTTCATTATTCTCCATAAGCTCTAAATTCCACCCCAGCTCCTTGCTCTGGGCAGACGTCTTCACTCCCTAAACACCAAAGGCAAAGCTGCTTTCACGCACAGACCCCCTCACGGTTCTTGCTCTGCACATAGCCGAGTCACTACCTATGCTCTCCATGTGGCTTCCTGGCTTCTCCTAGCGCTGCTCTACCTACTGGTTTTATTTTACTCCTCCCTTCCCCTTGAGAGCTGCCAACCAAGGCATCGGTTCTCCATTCTCCTTAATCTCTTCTACCACGGCGAAGTCTTCTCAGTATAGAAACATACTCAAGACTTGCCCACTTGAAGAAAAAGAGCTGTCCTCCCTCCTCTCTAATCTACCGATCCATCTCTCCTTCCCTTCCCCAGAATTTCTTTTCTGAGAATAAGCTACACTCCTGCTCCATGGCTATGGGTCCCCCGCATTCCTCAGCCACCGCAGCCTCCCACTGCTACAATGCCCTCTGGCTCCATTCTCTCCAAGGTCATGGTCACTCCCTCCATGTCAGTCCAAGTGGCCTTCTCCGCCCTCCACCTTCTGACTTTCACGGCATCTAACAACTATGATAATAAACGTCACAATGGACATAGCATCCACTGTACATAATGACAGTAAATTCTTATGTGATACTTAGCACTATGTGTCAGGCACTGTTCGAGTCCTTGCCACCACCTTGTAAGACCGGGCTGTTATTATTCCTGTTTTACAGATGAAGCACAGGGTGGTTAAGACTTGCCTGAGTTCATAGAGCTGGTCAGAGGCCCCACATTTGGGCAGCCTGTCTCTCCAGTCCTGCTTTCCATTACCATGTGACCATGACAGTTTCTGAATCTATTCTCCTTCAGTGACAAGACGCACTCCCCACCTCTGTCCTGGCTTCTGAGGGCTGTCCGTCTCTGTCCACATCAGTATCCCTGTTTCTGGTGCTTTTTTAAGTGTTTATCCTTAGTCGCCCTCTTCTTTTACTCTGCCTATGGCCTTCAATCTTTTGGGCCCAGGATCTGCCTGTGAATTAGCCGGCAGCTGATGGATCACCAGAAAAGGCTTATGGGAACCTATACTCAAAGCTGGCATATAGTTTCAGCGTACTCAAGGGGCTCTGAGATCATTTAAGGATCATGAGCTTCATGTGGCCGACCTCTGCTCCAGGCTCAGTTGGGATTTACCTCCTATCGTTGCTTCCTTCCACCTATGCCAGCATCGATCACTCCCTCCTCTGATCCCTGTTTATACTACTCATCAGGAAGATCAGAGTGTTAGTTGTCCTGATGGGACATCTCCACTAGATGGTAAGCTACCTGTGGGCCGAGATCCTGTCTGATATTCCCAGGGCTGGCACAGTGCATAACACACAATGACATAATAGACAATGAATAAAACCTGGTGAACTGAATGTGCTTATTGAGCTGACACTGTCCTCTTTGTTTTATCATGATACGAACTGAGAATTATAACAAAAACATATCATCACACTAAAGTGTAGAGGATGCAGGAAGCTCGCCAAGACGAGAGGAAGCCCCACATATAGCATGCTGATCATGTGCAAGGAGAAGGCTTGTAAGGAAGCAGGGCTCACAGAAGCATCAGGCACCCATCCCGTGAAAGCAAGGAGCATGACTTTCTCAGCAGAAGCGCCAGGACCCCAGCGGATCAGTCACCAGCACTTTCCCTCTCATCCCTCCAGCCCAAGGCCAGGTAACCCAAGAGAACTGATTGGTCGAAGGATGGGAGGTAGGCTCCAATTTCCGGTGGGATCTCTGAGCATCAGGCAGGTCTTGCAGCCCGGCTATCCTTCTGCATGGAGACGAAGGGTGCTCTTCTGTAGACACAGCTCTTGCAGATGTGTGTTTTTATCTGGGTGGAGTCACTCACTTGTTCCTTCCTTTTGTCACCCACTCCTCTGCGACCCTGCGGCGCTCTGAGACGCTCAGAGACAGTCCTTCTCCCGTGGTGCCATTCACTGTTACAAACAAAGTGACAGTCAGTGGGGCCAACCAATATCTTTTGTACATCCAAGGCTGGGGAGGCGGGGTCAGAAATCCCAGCTCCACTCAGTTCGATATTTGGGCCTGAATGGCAGGAAAATCAACACCATCCAATCCTGGCATGTCCGGCTGGTCATGACCTCTGCCTGTGGTTTGCCATGGGAGCACTCTGGGACTACTTTTTTAAAATATTAATTTATGAGGAAGCACCAGGATGTTAATACTTTTTGGAGCAAGCACTGATATATTCACTTCTCACAACAGCCCTGCAAAGTATAACTAATTCTCCTTATTTACAGATGAGAATGGGAGTTTCTGAATCACTAACTAATCCAAGCTTGAATCCACACCTCTGTGACTCCAAAACTTTCTCTTCTCCTAATCGGTCACAGAAAGGACGCAGATGGCACAGGGCCACACCACTGAGCCTAAATTGTGCAGGAGCACTTCATATCTCCAAACACTGAGCACTCAGCAGGGACACAGGGGGAGGTGGGGGGGGAGGCAGGGGGGAGTGGGAAAGAGTGTCTTTATCACTCTTTTGGGGACTTGAGCCACTTCAGGTGTGCTCCCTAGAGCCCTGGGAGGAGGAAGAACCTGTCTTCCCCACTATGGCTTGGAGCCGGAGGCGGACACTGAGAGGTTTTGTTATCAGGTTTTGGTTGTGACTTGTGGCCACCTTTTCACAGATGTTTTAACCTGCTTTCATTATGATCCTCTGGCGCCTCCAGTTCCAAAGGGCAGTAGAGCGGTATCTCAGGGCCAAGGTGCAGTGTCCTTAGAATGACAACCAGTCCAAGGGGCTGAGGCCCAGAACCCAACACAAGGGGCATTGTGATTGCAGGTAAAGACAGCTGTCAGGCTTAGCGTGTCCAAAGTCTGATTTTCTAAATCTCCACCATCTATGAATAAATGAGGGTGACTGCCAGTTCTCTCATTGCCTTAAAGTCTTTCTTGCATTTAAAATTCGAGAAAGTCTGGGGGAATAAAGTGAATTCTTGTAAGAGAGAAGCCTGGGTTTTGTTGCTCCTCCACCACTTCTTGGCGGAACAGACTTGAGCAACCTAAATAACGTACCTGAACCATAAGTTTCCTTCTTCAAATGGGGGTAAAAATAATACCTTATCTGCTTTGAAGGCACACCACCAAATTAGATACTCTCTTGGGGTGCTTTCTAGGTTTGAAATCGATGAGCCTACAAGTTCACAAATTTGACGTAGCTTCGCCAGACTCGGTCATAACCTATGACACGATGACATGGTGACATCCTGGCTATTAACCAGGTGAGAGTTGCTAAGGACTGAGTTAGAGTTATGTAGAGAAGTGTCTGAAGATGACTTACCAAACACACTCTTCACTCCCTGCTTTTCCACAAGATAATCCACATACTGACCAATTACTGAGAAGTTGATTTCTCTAAAAGGCACAGAAAAAATAGAAAAAAAGTATACTTAGTCTTTTTTTAAAAGAACATTATTCAATCAGTCCCCAAGTCTATCATCTATTCTCTACTGTGAATAGTTTTTGAAATCCACCTGGTCAGTGAAACTCTTAGCCTTTTGTTTTTTGTTTTTTCCTTCTGGGTCTGGTGATTTAGCCACATGTTCCTTACTTATGTGAGCAAAACACTATTCATCAACAAAGGCTTTACATTTAGTTATTAAAAATCAAAAAGACTTTTAGAAATACAGTAATATAGAAAAAGAAGTTACTGAATCCTCTTTTGTCCTTTTGGAAGAGTGATGTTTGGGGGCAGGTTTAAATGAGAACTCTTTTCCACTTGGTGAGGAGCAACCATGTTGGCTTGAAAAAATAGGAAGATTCATTCAACCTGAATCATTGAAGAATTTTAGCACAATATTTATGACAACAAATGAAGGCTTCAATCTGGCTGTATTTGCTAGTTTTACATCAAGGAGGATTTAGAGTTGGAAGGAACTTCGCTGTCCCTTGGCCTCTCAAAGTGTGGTCTGCCGAACTGCAGTATCTGGGGGAATCTGATAGAAATGCAGAGTCCCAGGCACCACACGTTCCTTCCCAGCCAAGAATCTGCATTGTGACAAGATCCTCCATGTCATCTGCATGCACTTTGCAGAGCGCTGACCTTGTAAGGATATGATGCTCAAGGCAAGAAGGGTTCTTTTCCTGAAAATCATGTTGACTTTAAAATCTAGAAACTGACTCACACACAAACCATATAAATGTCACCTGTGCTCCATCAAAATATAGGTGGAGAGGACAGGGGGTGGAGAGTGAAAACGCAAAGGGGAAGTGTGGGGTGAGCCCGTGTTAAACGCTGTGGGACCCATGGCTATGTTGACAAGAACAGAGTAGTAGTTGGCTGCCATTTGCATTTTGTCAGTGGGGCCAGAGAAGCCTAGTTTAATTTTAACCGTATTGACACTCTTTTCTTATTTACTTATTGTCTTCCTTAAAAAACAAAAACAAAACAAAAAATCTGATGCATTTAGGAAACAAAGACATAAAAGGGTATTTGCCAAAAAGAATGGGAACCATAGAGACCAAAACAAGGAATTCATAAGCAATCACCACCCACAGCATGCGAATGACAGCCAGCCACAGCTTGCTCCTGGGAACCGGTGTGTTTCAATGCATGAGAAGGCCTCCAGGGGAGCAGGCTCCCTCCTCCACCAGCTTAAATGCCAAATCCTCTCCTCTCAGCTTTGCGGAGGAGGGAGGCTCCCTGAATGCATGACAGGAGGTTGCACTACCTTAAGAGATAAGATGGGGTAATTAGCTGCCTAACAATCCACCTCAGGACCCCCACTTAGGTGGCTAGACAGGATCAGACATTTCTGACCACTTGGAGTCGAATGTTTATAGTACACCCGCTCCTTGCTGCTTCCGCCAGCTTGTCCCCACTTGGGACAAGCTCTGAGATGCAGGAACAACCAGCAGGGTCTTTATGTGACACTAACGCTGGCTTTGACCACCGGCATCCACCTACTCCTGTAAACAACCAAGAAACAGCTCCAGCAGACCCAGGGGACTTCTGAATCACAGGTCAAATCACAGATAGAAACCTGGAAAAAAACTCCCTGGAAAAAGCCTGTGTTGCAGTTACAGATTCAAAGGAGCTGGCTCCCCTACACTTTCACTGAAGTCTTGAGCCCTCCTCAGCCCCACCCACTTACTCGAAGATGCAATGAATTTGGTCTTGGTTTCATTCATTACAGAAATAGAGGTAATAGCCGTGTCTCAGAGTTCTTGTGAAGACTAAACTGGAACACATTCATGAATACGCCCAGCACGATGACCGACACAGTGCTTAGGCAATCAGTGTTAGCTTCCTTTCTTCCTTTTTTTTTCCCGTTTTGACCATCAGCATTATTCATCCCTGTAGCATATTCACTCATGAAACAACAAAATTTACCATACACTGTGCTAGATGCTGAAGATACAAAGCTAAATAAGTTACACACTCAGTCCTTGTGTGTTTCCTGGTACTTGAGAGAGAGCTGTTGAGGCAGGTTAGGCCGTGCAAAGCCTGCTGGGAGAGACGGCAGGTGACAGACAGTCCTTGTAAGACTCACGATACACAAACAATTCTGAAAGAATGTGAAAAGGTTTGTGCAGGTTGCTGCAGGACCACAGGGGAAGGATCCTCTCACTCTTTTTAGGGGAAATGAGGAAGAATCATGAAGGATGGTTTTGGCGGATGAAAAGAAGAGTTCAAGTGCAACAGAGAAAGGAGAGGATGGGGGTAGAAACAGCCAGAGGAACAGAATGTGGAAAGGGACAGAGGAAGGAGGGGCATGAGTGTTGGGGGAACTGCAGCGGTAGCAGGAGGGCAGGCTACGCAGGGCTTCTCTCTGCCAATGCCTCGCTCGAGGACATGAACTTATATGGAGAGAGTTGACTTGTTCGTGAGGATTCCTCGGGATCATGAATCAGAAAGGATGCAGGGTAATAGTTCTTGTTCAGCCATTCCGAATCATGGAGTCCGTGGTAACACTGGCGGAGCCAGGTTAGGACAACTCCCAGGATGGCAGGCCACCGGGTGGAAAGTCCAGGTGTGAGAGTCCATGTGACCCTTATTTTGTGTCTGACATGGGACGACGTGTGGGTTCCCCTGGGGGCAAGCACATTAATGCTGACCTGCTCCTGGTGGGTATTCCAGACCTGCTTTGTACCCATACAGGACTGTCTGGATGGAGCAGGTGGTAGGACAAAGGGGAACCAGCGTAGCTCATGTGCCTACCATGGGCTATATGCATTTTAATGCACTCATTTAATGCTTACAAGCCCCTTACAAAAAAATGTATTCTTATTTTGATATGAATTGATGAAAAAAGAGAAAACAGTGAAATGGAAGCCGGAGGGCCAGAGGTGCTTGGGAAATGAAGAAGGAACCAGCAGAGCAGTCAGGTTAATAACCTTCAACACATGGGGCCTCCTGCCCCAGGAAAACAGCAGAAAAGGGAGGAAGAGCACCCTGCCACTCTCGGGGGGTCCCCGATGAAACAACTAAGACTGTTTTAAGAAGCTGCTTCTGGGCCAAGAGGGGTCTGGTTGAAAAGATCAGGCAGCATCAGGCAGATGTAGCGTTTTGGGTTTGCAAACAGGATCTTACTGCATAACAGGAAGTAAATTCTGCCTGCTCATGCAATCACGTGTTCTCTGCTCTATCCGTCCAGCAAGTGTCTGACACAAGGAGAAAAAGCTGACTTCAGTCTTTCTTAGAACTTGTGGAAAAGGAGAAGCAACAGAAAGAAAAAAAAAACAAACCCTGCTACTAACCACTGAGGAATCGAAATGCCATTTTAGTAAGAATTTCATTTAGACCTAGCAAAGATGCAGTCTTCACGAATCTTAGAACCTGGAAGTCTTGGACTCTAATGATCTAAGAGAAAACAGTGGTATGGACAACTTCGAATGAGAACAGTAAACATGATAAGAAATTTCTTCTCTTTTAAAGGGGTAGGGTTAATATTTACCAGTGCAGCAACAGGAGACCAAAAATGGAGAAAAGCCTTATTTGAAGATATCTTAATTTCCTCCTCTCCCTTTCACCCCGATCTTACGCCACAAAAGCAGGTCACACTTACAGACTTAAGTGCACACTGACCCTGCGCTAAGCACTATTCTATAGATAGTGCCACACGATCCGTGATGTGGGTAAGACCATCATATCTGATAGAGGAAGAATGGAGCTTAAGGAAGTAAGAATTCTGATGGTTTGGGTAGGCTGACTCCTCTAAAAGGTCAAAAACATTTAGACCCAGGAGGTGGCTGAATCTCCTGTCTCTAAGAGGCAGCCTCCCGGGAGGAGCTCTATGTCACCCACGGGCACGTAGCACAGGACCATTATCCGACAGGGTAAGCAAACGGACCGCCACACTTTCATTTGGAAGTCCAAATACTTGCTTGGCCAATGATTTCTCGGCCGTCATCTGCTGTTACCTCCCACTCCTGCAGGCCCCCCAACATCTAACCACTGTTGAGATGAGACTGTAAACAATGCCTAAAGGGGTCTCTTTTGTAGCTACCTTCCTCACTTTCATCCCGTCTGTGGGGTGGAATCACCCAGAGGTCTAGAGACAGGATCTAGAGGGGCCAGGCCAGGGCTTGAGATCAAATCCTGCAAATATGAAAGTCTTGTCCAACTCCACTGGCCTTGTTTGGGAAAGCCAGGGCTGGAATAAAACCCCAGAAGAATTTGCACTGTGGAGCTACAGACCCCAGGAAAAGGCAAGCTGCTAGGGCTTATCTCCTCTCTCTGCACTGTTTGAACTATAGATACCTCGTCTCTGGCTTGGGTCAGAGATAGTGCAAATAGATGGCTGATGGAAGCTGCCACTTGACACCCGTATCACAGAAGTGCGGAGTTTAAATGACTGGGATAGAGAGAACATCAGTCCATTGCGGTGGAGTGAGAACAGACCCCTTTGAGATCCCAAATGGTAGTTACCCATGCTCAGTCATCGGCGTGATGGTTGCTGCAACCAGACCTTGAAGTTTCTTCTTTGGGGAGGCCATTGAGCTGCTGAAAGAAGTCTGGAAAACATACAACATAATTCCTCTCTTCTTCAAGGAAGGTCAATTAATGATAAAAAACTCCCTGGGGCAAAGTCTGTTTTCAAAGTTCATTTTGAACTGTGAAAAATGCTTACAAGTAGGCAAAAATAGACACCAAGTATGCACGTAGGATTACAGGGCTTAATTCTACAGGAGAGGAAACTATTTTTCAAAGTCAGGGGAGCAGTGTTCTGGTAACACACCATCGAAAAGGCAATGCCAGACCTCAAAGAGCAGAGGTAAAAAAGCAACAGAGCAAAGAAAGAACATGAACCCAGCTCAGAGGGTTCAAATGCAGAATCACTATTACTTAAACCGAAATACGGTCTGGAGAAAAGGAACCTTCTTATCTCTCTTGGTACCTTCAGTCTGTTAAGCAAGAAATTTACTTAAAATCAGCACTTATGTTTTAAGAATTCAGTGTAATCTTTGCAGCTATCATCAGATTTAAGTAACTATCCTTTCAGATTCTAATTCTGACCAGTTTTGTCCTGTGTTCCTAGTCCTCATATACCACATAAACGATATCACAATTATTTATTCATTTCTCCCGCACTAGACCGAGGTCCCCAAGACAGGGAACACATTCTATTTGCCTTTGCTTTTCCTTCACAGACTGCTCTGCAGACACCTGTGTCCAATTACAAGTGGATGGATTTTTGGTTGATTGAATGAAGTGTTGAGATTGTAGCTGGATGACGACTTCCAAGGAAGGGGAGAGTCGACCCGACATAACTCATTTGGGCAAAAGGACGCCTCGCCATCTGTTAGACAGTTTTCTTGTCCATAACCAGTACAGAAAAGCAAAAAAAGTTGTCTAAAACAGGTAAGTAACACGGCATCCTGGGTAATCGCCTGGGTTCTGTGGGCAGACTGCCTGGTTCAACTCCCAGCTCTGCCACTTACTAGTTATAGAAAATGTCATTATTTTTTTAGCTGTAAGACATAAAAATCTGAAGCCACAAATGCAAAGTATAACAATGGAAGAATATAAAAGATAATCAGATAGGATTTGATGACAATTATACAAAAGATGGTTGGCTTGGAACAAATATAGTGATGTCTATAGGTAATCAACAAGTGGGGTATATTATATTTTGAGGACACTTGAACACTTAAAAACTCACTGTGACTATTATTTAACCCCTCTATATTTAAATTTCCCATTCTATAAGTGAAAGTAATAGTAATCATACTACCTGGGGTCGTTGAGAGAAGTAAATGAATTAATTCTGGAAAACTGATTAACAATAGTGCCAGACACATAGTAAACCCAAGTTCAGCAGCCTCCATGAAGTCTTGTCTGATGGCTGCAGGGCATTAGCAAGGACTCTCCTTGGTCCCTTACCAGCACCCTCTTCCCTGTCATCTCAGCTCTCCTGGTACCGCCTCCCCAACCCGAGCTACCCTTCCTATTCAGGGACGAAGTCATTTCAATTCTGTTATCTTCTTTCCTGCAATCCTTCCCTCTCCCCTCACTGCCCCTCTCATAACTTACCCTTTGCTACCTCTTATCTACACCAAAGGGTACAACTCGGGTCCAAGGCCCTCCAGGGGCTCAAGAGGGTTCAAGTGATAAGAGTCTGGAGAGCTGGGTTCAGCAGAAGTCTCCTCAATCAAACAGTACTAGGCTGTTCACACTAGACTTCCATATTCTTAGGTTTTTAGCTGCATTTATTTCATGCTTAGGTCAGTTCCACTGGTATTCTTATGACGGTCAGAAGCTCAGAGTGGCAGTTATATATATATCTATTTGATTGAAAGAAATCAAGTTCAGTGACTTAAGTATAGTTTGATTGGTTATAGCTTTCAAAGCATGGGGGAGTGGGAGGAGCGCTGGGAATCACTGTCCTAACTCCCCCCTCTTACCTTCGTTCAATCCACGTGGTCTGGAGATCAGTCTTCCAGTAGCACAGACTTTCTGATCTCTCCTTTGCCAATCACTTCTCACCCTGGCTCCCATGAGCTAAACACCAAACTCCCTGGTCTGGTCTCTGGAGAGATCTCTGCAGCAACCCACCCTGTCCCGTCTGGCCGGCTTGCCTTCTCCTGTGGGTCTCCAGCCCGGAAGGCTGTTGTCTCTCCCACTAAGGGCTAGGGAATATCCCCCAATCCGCCAAGAGGAAAATAATTTTGTGCCCCTTAGAACCTCCCCCAAACACTGGCTTTTTATTGAAAACCTCACAGCAGAGTTATTAGCAGGGTAGTTGGGGCGCCTTGTCTGGGGGCAGGAAAAGCTTAAAAAATGTATCTTTGTGCAGATCAACACTCTAAATGAATGAGCAACGTCTCCGGACTTTGGGAAATGTGGAACTCTTACAGAGAGAGATGGGGTGAAAGGTCACAGCAGCTGGAACTGGGGAAGCACCCATATTTTGTCCATTTGAGTTTTAAATAAACTTGGCAATGTTATGCTTTGAAGTTCTGTATAGCTTGTGTCAAAAGCAAATGGTTAGAATGTTCTCCAGCCTAAGATTTCATGTGAACTTGGAATATGATTACTGAAAACACTGGGGAGGGGACGTTATTGTCGAAATCTTATGTCTCTACCCACAGCCAGGAACACTTAGTCCAAAGGATTCAGGTGGCCTTAGCCAAATTCTCTGAGAAGGGCAAAGTTAAAAAAAAAAAAAATCTGGGGGAGCAAGAGGATGACACTGGATAAGGAGAATGATTGACAGAGAATTACTTGGAAAGGGGGAAACGAATAGAGACACAAAACAAAACAACTGCAGAAATGCGACCAACTTCCCGTAAAATAAAGAGAGTGTATCAAATTTAGTCGCTAAATTCTCTGGTCATTTTGACAAAAGGATTCTTAGAGACCAGCCGCGTGAGGAGGAAGGCAACCCGGGGTCCCTCTGTCCCCGTCGCCGGACGGTGTCGCGCTCACACTTCCTCCGGCTCCGTTTCCCAGTTGGTCTGCCTTCCCCTTTTCCTCCCGGCAGTCGCCTTTTCGCCCCGTCCCCTGCGCCCCCTGCCCGAACCGCCCCCCCACCCGCCCCGCGCTGACCTTCGGGTCCCTGCACGCTCAGCTCACCCGAGACGCCGGGGGGGGTGGGGGGGGCCTCCCCTCGCCGTGGCTGTCGCCGCCGCTCCGCGCAGTGCCCCGGGTCCGCTCCGCCGCGCCCCCTGTGTCCGCAGGGGCCGCCCTGCCCCCCTCCATGCGCCCGCCACGCCCAGCGACCCTGGGGACTGGTTCTGCGCCTCTTCCCGCCTCTTCCCGCCGAGCGCGAAGGGCGGCGCAGGGCGGCAGAGTCGCGCGTCCCGCACCCCAAGAGCGGAGTTGGCCCTTCCCTGGGTCTGACTTGACTCAGGTGGGCTGAGGGGTCACCCGCGCGGGGCCCGGCTCCCCGAGACCTGCGCGCGGCCGCGCTGGCACCGCGGTGTCCGCAGCGAGGGTTCACAGGCTCCCGGCTGACCCCTCCAGGGCATCTTTAGGTCTTGGTCTCGACTTTCCTCGGTCGCGGGCCCTGCAACAGCAGGTATTTCGTGGTCGCGGGGGCTGTGAACTTCTGGCTGCTGCTGCCCCAACCCCGCACACTCTCATGTTAAAAAGAGGTGAACCGATATTAAAAGCGGATTAGATCCTAAATGCAACAGCTGTTTTGGCTTATTCTTGAGAACAGTTGGAAGAGTTTCGAAAGGGAAAAGTATTTTCAACCAAAACACCTCCACTTGCAGGAAGAGTAAAAGTTTATTTTCTAAAGTCATGTCCCGTGCTAATAAATCAGAACCCCCTCCATAAACCAGTCCTCTGCTTTCCGTAGTGATGCGAAGTAATCTCCATCTTCCAAACAAAGCAATGGCTGAGGCATATTATTTCATTTAGAGAAAATACATTCCCCAAAGGGCTTTCTGGTTTGCAAAGTGCTATCGAATCCATAATAATCGTTCTTTCATTGCACAAAGCACCAGTAATTAATTGATTATTTCATGAAACAATCCTATGTGACGGGTACACTTTAAATTCAGATGGTCATATATGCAGACGCATCATCCCATTGTACAGATCAGAAACAGCGGCTTTATCTCCGCCTCTAACTCCTCTGGGAGGTGCTCAAGGCCGGCACCGTGTCCACCGTGGCCGTCTGCATGCAGAGCACAGCGCAGGCCTGCCCCGGGGCCCAGAGGGTGAAGTGGGAGACCTGCACTCCTTTCAACTCTCCTTCTCTATTAATCATGATTTTGTCTTCATTATATTTTTCCATTACCATTTAGTCCCTTTACACCCTCTTCCCCCCAGCAATCACCCCACTACTGTCTTTTTTTGGTTAAAAAATTATATATGTGTGCGTATGTATATATATGTATATGTACACACACATATAATATATATATATACATATACACACATATTATATATATATATATTCCACATCATGTCTTTTGTTTTCACTAAAATTCAAGTTCGAAACCTAGCGAAGCAGAGGCAAGTTCTGCCCATTAGTTTGTCTGTTTCTTGAGGACAGTAAGGGGCCAGTTCTGTTCCCTGGGACGCACCCAGTGCCTGCCACACAGCAGGCACTCAGTCGATGGTCCAGCGAGCCTGCAGTGCAGAATGGATGTTGATTACTGAGAGCAGAATGCCAGCTCTGTGGCCTGAACACAGACTTTAGCGTGGATGGGGGTGGGGCCTCCTTGCTGACGGGGTTGATGCTGTAGCATGGATGAAGCCTTGTGGCCGAGGGGACCGGGGTCAGCACAGGGGACCGGGGTCAGCACAGGGGACACAGGAGCTGGGGGAAGAGGACTCGAGTGCCCCTTAGAGAGTGATCTGCAGATGGTTGCCTCGTGGCTGACGTTGAGGCCCTGTTTCTGAATTGTACCTCTGGACTCATGTGCCAATGGCTTAAACACACTAACTTGTCACCTCCTAATAATTGGAAAATTCGAGCCTCGTGTTACTACTACACAGGGAGAATTATGAAGGTGCCGTAGGCTGAAAACAGAAGCGAAGGTTAACTAATTTTGCTTGGCAGGGCCTCTGGGACAGTATCAGAATCATTGCAGAGGCAAGAATTCCTTTTGAAGGAGGCTCGCTGCGTAAAGGCTGTGCCTGCATGGACGTCAGGTCCTGGGGAAGCGCACAAGTGAGTCTGTTCTTCTTGTGACAATGCACCAAGGGTTCCCCAGGGATGGTAGAAAGAAGTGAGCACGTGGTCCAAAAGCACCCAAACCCAGTGCTGCTCGTGTTCCAGATATGGCAAAAACTAACCACTAGGTGGCAGTCTATCAGCATAAATTGCTTTATCTTTTAATGACTTTCAAATTGAAAGTTTCTGGGAATATCAGGAAGAAAAAAAACCTAGATAACCTTTCCATGATCCCATTTTCCTATGCTCCTTCCCCCCCAAATCCGTGCAGTTGACATCTTAAATTTTAACATTCTTTTAAAATCTCTTAATGTTAAAATAATGAAAAAAGTGATGCCTAGAAACACAGAAATTAGTAGAAAATTAAGTGCCCCTCCTCATATACTGGTTGTTTGGGTTTGAAGATAAATATGATTATTAAAAAGCACACTCAGTGGTCTTAACTTTTTGATATATAGAGACTACTTTAAAAATCTGGCTCAAGTTTAATTTAGTATTTTTTCCCCTATGAATATAACTCTGCTTCCTTTTAGTGTTTGAGGTAAAAGTGGGGCAATTGGGAGAAATATATTTTCTCTCTTCTGTGAAGAACTTTTATTTATGCTCCTTCTTTTGAGTGAAGGGAAAACTCACTGGAAAGAATTTGATGGGGTAAGTGCAATTTGAAATTTAATTGTCTTCCGCCCAAGGCTGGTTAGATTCTTGATTACAGCTGAATTTGGGTGCCAATAGTCTGGGCTTCTGGAGGCTGAGCCCTCTCCCACCTCCCTACCCCAAGTTGCAGGGGGCAGGAGCCTAGATGGGCTCTGTGGGGACCACCTGGGGAGATCTTGCTGGTCTTGTTTCTCCTTATTCCTTGTACCTAAACCATCAGGTCATTGCTGTCCTGGAGTCGTTCACTCAGATTCCAGCTTCTGGCATCATTTCCATCATCCCACTGACTGCGATCTCCTGGGCCTACTGGAAAGCTCCCATAAATTATTCCAGCACTTTCTCAAGTTAGGTGTTTTAGCTGTAGCCAGATTGTGAGCCCCTAAAGAAAAATGTGGGATCTATATTTGGCTACGCATTTAAAGCTGAACCAAGTAGGTTAAAAAAAAAAAAAAGCTAAGTACGTAACAGTATTCAATTCTTCCATTTGTATTAAAAGAAAAAAAAAGGCCTGTGTAGAAGTATACCTTGATTTGCATGGATAGTTTCTAGAAGAAAAACAGAATAGCGAACAGCCGGGTTTAGCATTGGCAAGCAAGGATGCCCGAGATCCTCTAATATATAAGCTTTAACTCTTTAATGATCAACTGAAATTGGGGGAAGGGGCAGCACTCCAAGAGCTTAAAGCAATGGCAGTTCACCAACCTATAGGGAGCTACTTAAATGTTTTAACAACTTACACACTTAGGCTACTGTGCCAGCAGCTCTCAATCATTTTTCCGGGGAAAGGGGGTTAAAGGCAGGAAGGACTTATCTTTCAGTGTGCCCATTAGTGCTGTTTGAAATGGTTTTCTTTTCGTTTGTCTGTTTGACTTCTATTTAACCATGTGCTGGTAGATAGAATTTCATTTTGTTCAGCTGGGGAGGCAAGCCTTATTTTTAGAATTCGGTTCTGGGCATTTGCGTCTAATCATCTGACTCCACTCTGTCTGAAACCTCGGGGCCATTTTCTCTAGTTCCTTCTTGCGGGAAACGCTTCCACCAGGGCTGAGCTTCAACTGCTTTTCTCACCGGGAAGGGGAAGCCCAGCAGCCCTCCCTCTCACCTCCCTCTGTCTCCACCCCCAGTCCCAACGTTGCTCTGGGAATCTCCTTTTGTTACCTCGGGCCTCTGGTCTCTCCACCTACCAGACCTCAGTCCCTTTGCTAACTAGTATAGACATGAGCCTGCTTAATCTATGGCCAGAAAGTACGTGCTTTTGGGTGTTCACATGACTTTAGGTAGGTGGGAGCTGCTGGCCCTGAGTTTTGTCTGTGCCTAGGCACTATGGGAATGGCCGTGATGTTGGCGGCACTAACTCACGTTGCGCTGCTTGTGCTTCCATCCTCCTGGGAGACAACCGCCCCGTTCTCCAAGTCTCCCCGTTTTTTTTGTTTTTGGTTTTTGGTTTTTGGTTTTTCAGGGAGACATGGTTGTACCACCCCTATTTCCCCTGCATCCGTTCCCGTTTGGCTTTGAGCT